ATAGGTGGCAATTTGCCACCACAATTTATGGATTTACATTTACACCAGAGTAAATCTGCACTACAATTTGGCCAGATTGTTACAGTTTATCATTCAAGATTAAAAGAAACGGCAAAAGAAATGCAAGCAGGAGAATAACTTTTTTGGCTGGAAAACCTTCAATGCTCGTTTGTATGCAGGGCATCACTGCTGTTCAGGGTTCCTGCATCCAACGCCTGAATAAACACAATGAGGCCCCGCCTCCAATAGGAAAGGAAATACGACAACAACAAAGTATCAGAAAGAGGAAAAAGGGAAGGAGGAGGAGGAGGAGGAGAAGGCCATTACAGGCTGTTCCTCTTACATGACAGCTCAGGAAGGATGTAACGTCAAATTCTCTGGATTGCATGATAAGAAATGATGAACATCTCTCTCTCTCTCTCTCTCCTGCTTCCAGATCCATTTATCCAAAGTTTAATCAACAACAGTAACAAAAAGAGGTCCAATCAGATAACACTGAGCAGGTGGAAGCATGTTTAATTGAAAATGCAGAAATTGCTACAAATTCCATATGAAACTGAGAGACTGGCCTTTTGCCTCCTCTGCCATGTAGTCAACAGAGGAAAAATGAGCATGAGGATAAAATCTCTAAACCCAATATAACAAATGTAAGTGCTGTTCCGTCATGTGTACATGTCTGTAAAGGAGTAGAAGACGGAAGGTTTCTTTTCACCAGCATGTTTTGATGGGTGGCAGTCCTTTGCCAAAATTGAAAAACTAACTTTAAACTTTGCAAAAAAGGGAGGAATTGGCGCACACACAGAGAAAGACAAACACAAAGAAAAGCATAATAATTTGTGTCACCAGTTGGCGATGGAACATACAGGAATGCAAACGACTTTAAAGTGTCTTGAAATATGTGACTAAATGCTTTCTTAAGGACTTCTTCTTCTACAAAAGGATGAAATGAATCTTCCAAATACCATTTCCAGTAATAAAAAACTAAATAAATATGCCATTCATCATTTTAGGTTCCATTTTCATGCTGGTAAGACAAAAAAGGTAGAAGCAGACTATCCATTTCAACTGTTTATTAACACAGATCTCAGCCCTTGCTGTAGTGTATTATTTTAGAAAAGCGAAATATATTTAAGATGTAATGTAGATTTATCATGACAATGGGCACAATTCCAGAGAAGAATGAAGTTAATTTAAATCCCCTTTGTTTCAACAGAATGTTAACAAAGCCTGTTCAGCTGTTAGCTGCATTGTCCCCAATATTTTTAATCCTGCTAACAATAGTTCCAGATTTAGGTACAAGCTATTCAGCTGACAAATGATACTGAATTGTGCTTTGATATATGATCTGACAGAGACACAGACGTCTTGAGTTGGAGTACGAGAAATGAAGGAGTAAAGAAGATAGAATGCATGAGAGCAAAGCAGGTTCACCTTGATGGAAATATATGATAGACAATGGCCAGAATCCTCTTGTGTGTATCTGTTAGTTAGCATATCAACAGTGCTATAACTTGCCACAGTAAACGGCATACCTACCCACATGACTGGTGTGCCACAGGAAATCCATATATTAACTTCTTAGCCTGTAGCAATTTGTCACTGAAAGTTACAGTACTTACAGTACTAGTGGGTGAGACTAATAGAATTCCAGCCACTGATAAAACCACAGTGGTAGAGTGTGAAGGGGGGATTAGGCAGCCCATGGCCTTTGGCTTGATTTTAAAAGCCTTCTACAAGCAATCCGTTCAGAGTTATCACAAAAATCATTTGTCTGCCCCTAGTATTCAACCAGGTGGGAAAGGAGGAAGGTAAGAGAGGCTAAGGAGATGTCAAAAGGGAGTCCCATCTGCTCTAAAGCCCAACATACCACATCTGTTCTCTAGCCCAACATACCACTTGCTTAGGGCCAGCCATTTTTCTCCACAGAAATAAATTTGTGCTTTTATCTATAGTGTAACAAGCCATCTTCAATGATGGGAATTTTTTCTCTCTCCTAAAGAATACATATTTAGAAATAAAAATAGTTGTATGTGTGGACATGTGGAGAAATTTAACTGAGAAATGTCTCATCAACTCCACCAAGTTTTAAATCAAGAATGTTACATATAATGCCATGGTACACAGTTAGTACAAGAAAATCTCTCTTTTTTTCTATTCCCCTTGAAAGGAAGTCATTTTTCTTTTTTTTAGAGCACATTCGGATCTGGTTTTATTTTGAGAATTTAATTATAAGTGGTTTCTAAACTGGATATTTTTGAAAAGCCGCCCAGAGACCTTTGGGTAGTGTGGGCAGCATATAAATTAAATAAATAAAATAAAATAAAAGTGCTTTTCTGAGATCTGCTTCTGGTGTACCCAGTTGTGAATTGGTCCAGAAATTGACTTGTTGTCTTTCCACTGTGTGTCTCAGTCCAAAGCGGCATGGGACACAAAACAGATCTGATTTGTGCCTACTGATCTGGAATAACTACAGTGGGGTCTCTACTTAAGAACGTCTCTACTTAAGAACAATCCAACTTAAGAACAGCTCCATTTGCTAAATCTTGCTTCTACTTGAGAACAGAAATCCAAGATAAGAACAGGAAAAAAACCTTTCCTGCTCTTTTTTTAACCTTAGGTCATCTTAGGTTAAAAAAAAATCTCCCCCTAGTGGTAGAGTATATATTAACCAGCTTTGCATTAGTTCCTATGGAACTAATGCTTCAATGTACGAACGCACCTCTACATAACAAAAAAACAGCCAGAACGGATTAATTGGTTTTCAGTCCATTCCTATGGGAAATTTTGCTTCAACTTAAGAACGTTTCAACTTAAGAACACCATTCCAAAACGGATTAAGTTCTTAAGTAGAGGTTCCACTGTAGTTTCTATGGACGGAAAAGAGCAGATACGGATTAAATGGTTTTCAATGCATTCCTATGGGAAATGCAGATTCAACATAAGAACTTTTCAACTTGAGAACCACCTTCCAATACGGATTAAGTTCTTAAGTAGAGACCCCACTGTACTCCCTTCCTCTTCCCTACTTTGCTAACAAACATGCACTGGAATAAAGGAAAGTTGACTTCGTTATACTGTATTCTCAAAGGCTTTCAGAGAACTCCTGTCCTCTGAAGCCCAGCCTGCTATGTGCAGCTGAGAATATATGGCAATACTAAATTTTATTCATTTTATTTTTAAATGATAGTACAAAATGCATTTGTCACTATGTCCAAGCAGGAGAATATGATAAATAGGATTAGACCAAACTAGAATCTGAAACTAGGGTCTCCCCATTCCCCCCCCCCCTGGTTCCCTCTGGTCCTGGCAACAATACTTCTAAGTTCTGATAAGAAATTCTTCCAAATTAGCAAAATAAATGTTTAGTCATGGCAAACTGAGAAGGAAAGAGGAAAGACTTCTGCATACCCTGGCACACTGTTATATCCAAATTGAATTATTACATACTTTATGAAATTTAACAGTTGTTAGAAGTATTTACAAAAAAACATTTAAGAGGCTCTCTTAGACATAAAAGAATAGGCTAAATTCCGTGCAAGGCCCATCAAGAGCATATTGAACTCAATGAATGGAGCTTGTTGGCTAGCATTTGTATAAATTATGTTTATTTCAATGGATTTACTCTGCGTGGGATCAGCATTGGATTTTAACCCAAAGCATGTTTGTGCTGGTCAGAAAACTGCTCGATCACGTCAGTTTCAGAAAACTGCTCTACCATGTCAATTTCTGATACATCTTCATAACCCTTTTGACCAAAAGGAAAAAAAGTAGATCTTCACATTAAGCAAAAGGTTTCCTACACACCCTTGTCAGGATGTTACACAAAAATAATCCATTCCATCCAAAATCTTTGCATGCCTAGGACTCCCCACAGCCCTCACTTTGATGTAGGCTGTAACATTGCCAAGTATGCCACAGTTGAGACCATGTCATATTCAAGTGCTACACTGAAGCTACCAGTGCTGTAGAAATGGTAAACAGCAGAATCACACTGGGTCCACTAAACAAAATTTCCCACTGAACTATATAGCATAAATTACAGTTAATTAAAAAACATATTAATGCTAGACAGATTAAGAAATGAAAATCATATATGAAAAAGTAACTGTGGAGTTTATTAAAGAGGCAAACAAAGCCACTTTTGTCCTAAGCGAAACCAGTGACATGAAACCTTTGTTAGCCTACTGTGAGGAAATGGGTTGTAAAATAAGGGCCTGAATGGGGAAAAGAATAATTTCATTATGAGTTACAAATATTTCTATTGACAAGAATAAGATGTGGAAGATGTATTTTCTAGTAGAAAATAATATTTCTCAAGAAAAAAAAAGACAAAAAGCAAGGAAGAGCAAAACGTCGTGAACCACATGGATGAGAATGATAAAGTAGATTGATGCAAAATGAAAAACAAAGTTCACAATGCCTCATTAAAATTGCTACACTGGTATGAAAACAGGCAGGTGGAAGGGGAGAAAAAAAAAGGCTGGTTCTGGTATTTCAGCATTTCACTAGTAGTTAAAAGTATAGTGGCTAAAATCGTAACGAGAGCTCTAAGTGCATAAGAGAGAATCTCATATACTAGCAACGTCTTACTTGTGGCTTCCTACTTGATTCACAGTTTGCTGCTCAAGGTGAAGCAAAAGACTCCTGGGCACACAAGCACACAGGCACAAAGGAGGTTGCGCAACCTCAAAGGCCAGGCCAAGTGATTTGGACACCTGAAGCATAACTACATCCCCCCCCCATCCATGTCTACGAAAATATCAACACAAAAATAGAAAGCTGCCCTCTCACAACACCCCAAACCAGCTGCCTGTGGCAGCTACTTTACTCTTTATAATGGTACGATCACTCCTGCAAAGGACACTGTGCGTGCACAGCCAGTTCGCGGATGTGGTTTCCCCTTTCAATTCTGACAAATTGACATCCAGCGTTCACCTCCGGGGGGTGTGTGTGACACCCTTCTTGTCTTACGCATCTCTGCTTGGTCTGGCCCAACTTACCTGAGTATGCCCAATAAAGATCCCCGGATGCCTTCCGCCGCCTGATCTGCACTGAACTGCCATGTCTGCTTTCGTGCAGGGAGCCATCATAGCCTTCAGTCAAAGCTGAGGGGAGGAAAAAAGAAGCAGAAGCAATTAGTTAGGTGCCAATCACTGGCTGCAAATTAAATCATTTAGACATTCTTAGAATTATTGGATCAGCACATCAACAGACTTCGCACAACTGAAAATACAGAACTGAGGGCAAAGCGATTACACTGATCATTTGTGCGGCACAACCCCTTTCTCCCTATCCTCCCTTGCCAGACCATGCTTGCGGGCAGAGATGACAACTTCATCAAACCACAGTCACATCACACTAAGCCACTTGTGGTGTAACCAACAGCACATCCTCCTTGGTAAAATCCAAGGGGTAGGGGACGACTCTCAATCAAATGGATCTGGGCAAGCAAGCAATGCCATTTTTTAAAATCCTCATGTGGAATCTTGAATATGGAGACAGGGATGCAGTAGCTGCTGACACTGGTCTCTCTAGATGGCAGAATTATATGATGCTAATAATAGGATTGATGGTAAGCTTTGTTTGGTTCCCATTTTCATAAGAATTTACCTACCGGTAATTATCCTTTCTCTAACAAACAGAAAGACTGACACACTGTTAGCCTTCAAAACTCACACCTCTCCGAACTTTGCAATGGGCATCTCCAATAACAAAAATGTGTATTAAGAAAAGGTGTGTGCATAAATGGCTATATTAGAAGAAACAGCTGTTAGATGCACTACATTTGCAGAACTGTTTGGGAAACAGGGAATATTAAACAAATGTACAAACAACAGTGTCTGTATTAAGGCAAATGCACAAAGACATGGGCATGAATTTTCACCTGAACTTTTAAAAAAAGAAAATAACAAATTTTGCAACTAATGAAGCCAACCCCAACAAGTTGCCCAGTACAATTAGGAAAATAAAGAAAAGGAAAACCGTAATTACCAGATTTGTCCATCTTCCTGTCAACTCTGCAAAAATGCAAGTTTTATCAGCTCAACTGACACTAGTGTTATGAATCGCCACTGAACTATCTCTAAGACAGTCATACCGCCACCTCCACCTCCACCTCCATTATCTTAAGCAGTGTAAATAGTGAGCCTGTTCTTTTTCTACCTTTCTCTCTAGTTAAAACCACAGAACCTGTTTTCAAAAGGATCACAACAGGGCTAAGGGATCATGCTTACTACGATTTCACAATCCCTTTAACTTGCACTTTGTCAAAACTGGTGAAGTAGCAGAAGGCTTATAAAGATGACACCACACCTCTGTACCAACACACTGATAAGAGCAGGTCAAACCAAGCAAGATAACTATGAGCTGTTTAGTATTTTTTTTAAAAAAAACTGCATGCTGTCAGTTTGATTCCGATTTATATTGACTCTTCCAGGTTTTTTTATAGAGTACTTAGAAGCAGTTTTACTCTGAGGGTGCTCTGGGACTGTGATAGCTTTCCTCACATTACACAGGCTAGTTCTTCTCCCAAGATGCACAGTGGGGAAGTGAACTTGTGACCTTTGGCTCCATGGTCAAGTATCCAAGCCACTGAACTATCCAGCCAGTTGGATGTGTTTAGACCCCAGAACTATCCTGACAAAGTCTACCCTGTTACCAAAAAAATATGTATGGTTAACAGGCTTATATTGATCCAATACATACATGTACAGTATTTCTCATGGAGAGTCTCAAACTGAGTCAAAGCAAATACAATATAACCTACCACAAAGCACAGAATAAATAAGCTCTCAGTGTTTTCCACTACAGCAAGGTAATTTCCTCCTTTTCTCTCTCAAAACACAGGCATGTTGCACAGCTACTTCTACTTATTTAAAGATTCCAAGGTCTGCTGTCATTAAGAATCAAATGTAAAACAACGAAAGAAGTATGATTGGACTTCTAAAATTAAAAACTGCGGATTTAAAAAGAGTAGGAGGGAGTTTTACACCTTTGTATTCATTCTTCCCCTTCTTGCTTTCTTTTAAATGCAACACTTTTGAGACAGCTCCTTAGGCATGCAGATTCTTGTATATTACTTCTATACACTTGACTGAGCAAAACTGGAGGTGTGCGACTTCAAAAATGCCGAAAAAAGCTAGCTTGAAAATGGAACACAGCTTCCTCTCACGTAATACGACACATGCAATCAAAACCACTGCCCGCACTAATGCAAACCAAACCAAAATAGAATATCCTCTTTTTTTTAAAAAAAAAAATTGAAACTGATAAATTGTAAAACAGTGCTGGAGTACCAGGGTGAGCAAAATTCAGCTCCTAAGAGAGCTATATAAGCGAGGTGTGTAGTTAAGAACATAAACATGCTGTTTAACAAAAGTGAACAAAGAGACAATGCCTTGGAAAAGTCAGGATTTCAGTCGACACAAATCCGAGACATTGTGGATTGGGGCATTATGAGACCAAAAGACAAATAAATGAATAAATAAAAATAAACAACAAAAAAAAAACCCAATAGTTTTTCTAAGCTTCAGGTGGTACAGGAATGCTGTCCTATGAATGAGCGATTCATGCTCCCGGCATGAACAGCATGACTGACCCTGTTCTCTAGGTTTTGGCACTGAGAAGCATGAGGTGTCCATGCAATTTATTATATCCTTCTTTTCTCTACCGAAGAAATATTGCAGGCCTGGTGCTCAGCTAGCACTCCAAGAGTACCCTCAACCTGTCAGCTGACTACATGTCTTGCCTTCAGTATTGTCCATATCGAAAACCCTTTGTTGTGGCATGGCGGCTTAGTGGTGATGTACATCTGTGATGGGGTGAGCATGCCAGGTAGTCACCACGCTCATGGCAAGCCATCGGGCCCCTTTAAGGTGGCTGAGATAGTTCAGCCAGGGGAAAAGACTATGGCACATGGAAAGAGAGAGAGAAGGCAGCCAGGGAAGGTAAAACAGCCTCATAAGAAACACCTCCCCAAGGTAATCAAGAGCCAGATAGAAAGGAGTGGAGACAAGGTTTAGGAGGTTGTTGGTGAACAGAAGAGGAGGAGGAAGTCAACTGAGGATTCCACTGAGGGAGAAAGTGCCCAAGGACTGGTGTAGCTCCAGTACTACTGTAAATAGAGTGCTCATATGGCTAAACTCTGAAGTTGAGCCCATGGCATATGTGCCAAGGAACCCAGCCGTCACCAGCTGCACAGCGCTGGAGGCTGGACACACCCAGAGCATCAATGGACAAAATCCTATTGAGCAACTTAGGGTTGTGCTCACTGCAGCGGCATGAGCACCAAGATGGAAAAGATATCCCTAAAACACTTCATGCCAGTGCTTTCTCCGTGACCCCTCCCTAGCAGGGTACAGTAGTTTTAACTGTATCACCTGCATTTGTATTCTTAATCTTGTTTCTACTAAATGTGCAACACTTTCCAAAGTAGCAGTAGAGTGGTTGAGCATCTCAGTCCCTTTCAGAAAGGCATAATACATGCAGATGTTCCTTTCCAATTACCTTACAGAAAGAGTTATGGATAGATTTTAAAAAAAAAAAGAAAAAAAAGAATCTAATTTGAATTACAGAGAAGACTGCTTCGTTCAGACATCTTAGGTAAAACTGAGACATCCTTCTTCTTCAATTCCACTCTCACCTCTTGTAGATTGCTAAAGAAAAAGTAGCAGCGACTGACACATTAGTGAAGTACAGTGGTGTCTCGCTTAACGGCGATAATCCATTCCAGGAAAATCACCATTAAGCAAAAACATCATAAAGCGAAAATAAAAACCCCATTGAAACGCATTGAACCCCCTTCAATGCATTTCAATGGGGTCAAAACTCACCATCCAGTGAAGATCCTCCATAGGGCAGCCGTTTTCGCTGCCTGTCTTGTGAGGAATCCGTCCCAGAAAACAGAGGGGAGCCATTTTGTTTACCCGGCGGCCATTTGAAACCGCCGATCAGCTGTTTTAAAATCGTCGTTTTGCAAAGAATAGGTTCCCGAAGCAGGGAACCGATCATCGCAAAGCGAAAAAAATCCATTTAGACCATCGTTTTGCGATTGCAAGTTCATCATAATGCAGTTTTGTCATAATGCGGGGCAATCGTAAAGCGAGGCACGACTGTATATACTGCACGTCTGCAGAGATTTAAATGTAGTACTGACGTGTTGTGTCCTGAACCCTGCAAGCCAAGCTGCAATACTGATAAAAATCATTGGGGCCAGAAAACTGATTCAAAGGATTTCCCTGATAATATACTGAAATCCTAATTTTTGTTCCACAGATGGTTAGCCTTTCCGCCAGAGTTACTGTACAAGGCAAGCCACGGATGCCTATCTACTGGTAGACTCATCTACCTCTTCTCACTATCTCCACACCCTATCAAGCTAAAGCAATAAAAAGAAAGAGCAACATCATGCAATCACAACAACAAGTAAGCAACAAGGCATATTTCTGTCACTTTTCTGACACAAGGAAATGCAATGCCTAACAAATCCTTAGTAACAGGCTCCCTTCGCAGGACGTTTTAGCAGCACAAGGGTAAAGGGAGCAGGTTTAAACCATTTATAGATTCTGAGAAGAAAACACTCTGTCAGCACTCAAAATTTAATCAATTGTAAAATCCTTTGTACTTGGAGACTGAGTAGTCAAAGAATGGCAGCATGGCAATTCTATGGTATGGTTATGAATCATGCTATTGATTTCCAGTATCTTCTGTGCAGAAAATTAAATTATGCAAATCCAAGCCTTTATGAATCCTTTACTTTAGTGGTGTGAAATTGAGCACTTGCTTAAGTCAGCATCTTATTTATGCAATTAAAATTTTGATGCTCCTCTGAAAACGTGCAGTTTCATTCTTCTCTCTAGAGACTCCCCTAATAACTATAAATCAACGTTTCTAACAGGTATGCAGCTGCAACGCAGAAGGGTGCTATTCTATCAAACAGTGCTTGGTGGCATCAGAGGAGAGTCAAAGCTGCAGGGACAAGATGGATTTTTTTGTCTAATACAGTTTCTCTAATTATCCACAAAATATGCATATTAGTAGAATGAAAAATATGTTATGTTAATTGACTAAATTTTTTTAAACTAGGTGACAACCATTGGTATTTGCA